TTTTGTTTCCCTTCAAACTGTAATCATCATCATCACTCTCTTCTCCTCCTTCTTCACCATTAATTGAAAGTGTTAGGTCAGGCAAATGTTGTAAAAGAGGTTGACTACCTTTGGAAGATAAATAAGATATAAAAAAATGATTTCAATATAATCTGATTGATTTTATGATTCAGTAAAGCAATGTGAAAATAAATGTAAAGATTATTTATCTAAAAACCTTTCAAAGGTCAGTTTTTTCAAAGATTTCAAAGTCTATTGATAACTTGACCAACTCAATAATAGCTAGCGATTTGAAAATTGATGTTCAAAAATGGGTTCTGATTGTCATTCAGAGAATCAGTTTAGGATGAAAAGTTATTAGTCATAGGATGAGCTTGGAGCCATTAGTTTCTGAAGAGAATCCGGTTTCTCGGTAACTCAAAGGAGTATTTCGATCACCTGCATCGTGATATCGATTGCGCTAGATGCTGCATATTATTGAAATTGATATCATTGGAAATCTAAAAGAACAGAGAAAATGATTTACATCATTTTGTTTTTTAGTTTTCAAATTTACATGATTACCTAAAGCTACATGAGTCTCAGCATGAAATTTGTGTGATCCAGAAGTTGACCTGATAAATGAGAAAAATGTTCAGTCCAGATTAGGCGATATTTTTAGATAATGTTTTACATAATTAATTCATCGAAAAAATACATTTATAATAACAGAAAAACGAAAAACTTTTTTCAAGTATTACCAAATATTAATTTTATGAGGCTCTTTAGCCGATGGATTGAGTTGAGATTCATGGAAACAAAAGAGACTTCCAAAGTCATGAAAGAAGATCACTTGCCTTAAGTCATTCTTGAGCTTGAATTACACAATTGAAACTGAAGATGAAAATATCAGTACAAAACCTGGAATCCGGAAACTAAACTGACAATAAGTGATAATGAAGGTCTGATAATCAGTGAGATCAGTGCAATCAATTCCCAGTCACAACGGATGGTGAACTATTAAACAATGAACAGATTAATTGCTCAGATATTTACGAATGTAAAGGCAAATGTTCTGAATTTCAACTGATATATGATATTGAATAACTCAGAAAGACAAGACACTTAGAAGGATCTATCGGAAAATTAATAAAACTTCATTGTTTCCATTAAACACAAATCAAGGAATAAGTAAAAACAGTCAGAAATCAATATCTTTCCTTTCATCATGATCATTTAGTCAATTGAACGGTAAGAAAAAAGTTGAAAAATTGATCAAATGAATACAAAAATATAACGATCGTTGAATAATTCTGATTGCTATTATTTCTGGAAACCTTTAAATCTCTAAAATCAGAATTGAAATAGCAATTGATGATCATGAAAACACAACCAGTTTCGATGAAATTATTGCAATAATTTCATCAGACTTTCAATGTACAATGAAAGCTGTGGATATGAAGTTGCATTAAGGAAAGTTAATTTTTGTATACAATTGAGTGATGCTGGGTTTGAATACTCAATAATTTTGACTCGTTCAATTTTAGCTGTTGAATTAAGTTTGACATGAAATGGTAAATTAAAATTAAGCTTTAATAAAATTGATTGTTTCTTAATTCTATTCAAATTGTTTATCTTTCTAACATTATCTGATATTTGTTGCCTTTGCCAATCCATAATTATTATCATCAATAATGATTCATCATTTTCTGCCCTTTTTCATTATCATTTTGTTGGGTCAACGATCAATGAACCCAAAAAGTGATACAATTACCTGAGATTCATGGGTTTCTGTGGTTTTTACACAATCATCGTTATAAATTCTGTCATCTACTAAGTCTTATGA